GGGATTCCTATCTAGACCAACCACCCAGTTCTTTTTATGAGAATTACTTCTCAAGTTCGATTTCTACCATTGAACTACCAGAAAAAAAAACACAAATTATGACAAAAAGGAAACTTGAAGTCATATGTAAAAAAAAACACAAATTATAACAAAAAAAAAAAACACAAATTATGACAAAAAGGAAACTTGAAGTCATATGTAAAAAAAAAAACACAAATTATGACAAAAAGGAGACTTGAAGTCATATGTAAAAAGTATGGCAATTCTATGATACTTCATTTAATATGAATCTTTTTGGGATTTTGAGTTAGTGAGAGACAATAGAAAGTGGAATAAATTTCTCCCCAACTTTTGTCTCTCTTTGATATCATTTTGGGCATCTTTAGCTGGTGACAGTGGAGATGGAAACCCGTTGGAGGGTGTGGTATGTAAAGAAATTTTGCTAGAAAATATAACAGATGAAGCCCCCAAATAATTGCATCTGCTCTAAAAAATCATATATAGCGACAGTATAAATCTTTAATTTCGGAATACTTTTTGGTTTTTACCAGAATTTGTTCAAACAATCCTTGCTCTACTTCTGTCTTTTCTTAGCCCTCTCTCACTCTCTCTAGTATTTTGTTACATGCACCATCTTTGTCTTGTTACACTGATACTTCTGTTTCTTTTCATTTCGTTTTTGTATTTTTTTTCATTAGCTACTTGTTATTAACTTTCTTGCAGGCTGTGAAGAGCTTCTCGGATTTTTGTCTTGTTCTTCTCATTGCTTTCTTTTAGTGGGCCTTATCATTAATTATTCTATGGTGGAACCATGGCTAGTAAGTCAGGGATTATCAATAAAACGGCTCATCATAAAATCGGAAACAAATCATTTTTATTTTAAAAAGTCGGATGAAAAGATCGGGTAAAAAATATAGATCGACAAAAATTCTTCATAAAAAAATATCGCTAATATATCGGATTAGGCTAAAAAAATAACCGGAGTAAAAAAATCAAATAAATTTATAATATTAGAAATTTCAAAATTTAAAAAATAAAAATTATATCAAAGTCATCAATAACTAATGCATGCAGTTGGCATGCAGATGCATCCGTAGCTGTAGAGGTAAGGTGCGCCTTCAAATTTTATCATGGTATATAATTTTGATGTAAAATGTCCTTGGGATTATCTCAAAATCTATTTTTATATCTAATTAGAAAAATTTTAAATTTAAAAAATAGTTAAAATCAAGTAGATCTATAAACATATGAAAATCTTGAAAATGGACGGTGTAGATAATATGTTGTAAAATGTATTATTTATGAGACTTAAAAATATTTTTATTTTTCATGGTCATACATCTCGATGTCAAGATGATCAATCAAAGGGTTTTTAACATTAAAAATAGGAAAAATATCTTCATAGAGCCATTTTCAACTTTCATTTCTCTATTGACCCAAGTTGTAAAACCTATCTTACTATATAGAATTTCACTTTATTATATCTTCTATCCCCCTAAATATATTTTATTCATTTTTTATTAATTCTTTTGACCCAAACAAATTTTAAGAAAATGTTGTTTTCTAAACAACTCTCTCTCTTGACATGATTTCTTTTCTCTCTCCCCCGATCAACCTCACAAACCCCTCTCTTTCTCTATCTACGACCACCACCAGCAACTCCTCCAGCGCCACCACCACCACCAGCGTCCCTACCAAAACCTCCTCCTAGTCCTCCACCACGATACTTAAATCATGGGCCAAATGGACCATCCCTGTGGCCCAGCAAGAAGTGCTCATCATCGATAAAGCCATTGCCGACTTCAGCAGCAAGCACATTACTCACCACCACCAAAGCCACCACCTAAACCCCAGTTGAAACAACAACACCACCCCTCATCTCTTTATGATAATTCAAACTACACCCAAGGTTTCAACTTTCAAGTGATGAGAGAGAAAGAAAGTAGTGCAGTATTTATGGAGAGAGAAAGCGGGGACCCTGTGTGTTCATAAAACCAGAGGGTTGTTCATAGTGTTCTTTCTTGTACTGAAAGTAGCATGTTCATGAACTTTCATGTTTTTCTGGGGCTCAAACACTGACCCTCAACAACATTCAAAGAGGGAGGAGGCCCCAAAAATCCTTCCCCCCATTTAATTATTCCATTGATGAAATTTTGAAGAAACTGAACCACTTCTTGATGGCACGAACCAGAAAATGACCATGAATCCAGATAGACCCTGATCTAACCAAAATGAGAATCGTTTTCAAAGAACCTAGCTCGAGAGTTTCATCAGTCGAGGCCAGACACTTGCAGAGTGAGTCCAAAACCCTGAAAATTGTAGGGGGAGTATCTTCGTTATTGGGCTCTTCCACTTCTCCACAGATCAAGCTATTGGGATAAACTTATGAAGACATTCCAAAAAGAAGCTCGAATTTTTATCTCTTCCTGTTACAGGTAACTGTGAAGAAGCCTGCAAATATCAATTTTAGAGAGAGAGAAATTCTGTTTTTTTCTGGTGAGAAATGTGCATTTTCGGATGTGGGCTTTGCCAAAAAAAAGAGATGGAGCCAGAAGATGGTGACCCCATTGTAGCTTGAGAGCAAGAGAGTAGCTAGAGAGAAGGAGGGTAAGAAAAGGAGGGTAAGAAAAAAAAGGGCGGGGCATGATGAGTCCAGAGAGAGAAACATGTGAGGAGAGAGATTGAAACACATGAGTTAAAAAAATGTGTATTTTTTAATTTGTTTGGATTAAAAGTTGGAATAAAAATAAATAAAGTTATTTGGAGGTTAGAAGAAAAGTTTTGAAATTTTGGGTTTAGAAAGAAATGAGAGTTAAAAATAGGGTTTATTGAGATATTTTTCCCTTAAAAATACCTTTTCTGATGGATATTTGAGTTGCATTTGTAACTCTACATTATAACTAATTCATCTATAAAAACTTTACCAGACTAATATAATTAAATCAATTAATTTATATGCCTCTAACTCTTATCCAATTATCCAATATTAAATATAAAATTAACTAGTATATACAAAAGAAAAAATCCATATAAATCTATCTATTAAATACTTTAATAATGATCACATCTACTTATTACATACCAAAAACAAACATACTATATAAATTTATTCATTAAATACTTAAACATCACACCTACTTAGCAAGCATAAAAAAAAACACGATTTATTTTTTCTCGCTATAATAATAATTATAATAAGCGACTATGGTCACTCTATAACTATCTATGGTTAAAGTTTTATAAATTTCTTTAATTCAAAAGAGGCTCGTGGAAATTTCGGTTTCACATCACCAACACTAATGAAAGGGTCCTAACTGTTTCTGTGGGAACTTATCAATACTCTTCATATTTCATGGAAGATGTCCAAACTGAACTGTCTTCTTAAAAATGGGAACTTATTAACACTGTTCATGTTTCGTGTTTTTCAAATGGGAACTTCTATATCCCCGTGTAAAAAAACAAAATCTATCGGAACTTAATTTTAGAACTTCACCCCCGAACCCTAGTTCTTCCCATCTTCAGCCACTGAGCACCCCTCACTTCGCAGCACGACCCCTCTCTTCTGTTCTTCGCGTTCAGCAGCTGAGCCACCCCTCTTTTCGCAGCACGCCACTATCTCAGGCAGACTCCTCTCTTCACACGCAGCCCCCGCTACGGTTTATTCAGCTTTTCTTGAGCTCTGATCCTTGCTATTGATCTTGAGCTCTGATCCTTGCTATTATCGATCTTGAGGTATGCTATTGACTCTTATTCTCTCTGTGTTATTGATCTCTGTGTTTGTACTTGAGCTCTTGAAGCAAAGAGCCCTTATTCTCTCTGTGTTATTGATCTTGAGGTATGCTATTGACTCTGATTTTCTTCATCTTTCTCCTTTTTTGAGCTCTGATCCTTCCTATTGAGCTCTGATCTGTGTTCTTCATCTTTCAAGAGGTATTTGCACCCGACTACCCTAACCACAGCGAATAGTATTGATGTGTTTTATTTAATAAAATCAGAGTGAATAGCATACCTTTTATTTCTGATTTTACAGATTTTTCGCAACAGCCAAATAGATCAGAGCTCAGTTACAAAAAAAATAGAGCTCAGTTACAAACTGATTATTCAAACAGTTTGTAATAAAATCTGAGTCCTTTTTTTTTGTATTTC